GAATAATTCTATATTCGGGGCGAGAGAGCACTAGGCCTTTCCTGATGGCTTCTTTAAGGCCAGCAACAAAGGCAGCAGATAACATCTGGGTATGTGCTTTATTATGTACACTGAACCCAAGGTCTGAGAAAGTTTGGGTCAATCGTGAATGGTACTTCTCCGTGGACTCGAGTTTATCTTGTATAATGTCATTTAGACAAGTAGCTTGGTCAGCTAGTTTATCCTGAGCCCAGGCTCGAAACTGTTCACAGAAAGTAATACCCTACTGGAAATCCATGTCGGTAGTGAGGAGAGCATCATTAAAACTCCTTTCCATAATGGGCCAATAGGCATCCCCAGCCTTGATCTCACACAGACTGTACAGATCACGCCAGGCTGCTGAGTATGTTTTACGAATCTGGCAATCCTCCGGAAGAAGGGCATGGGCTGTTTATCAGGGTCGGGGAGAGAGGATACTAGGGTTGCAGCTTGAGAGGGATTGAAATTAACATACATCAGGGGAGCCCCTTCCACTGACGATAAGGCATGGATATGGGTGACCTGTCTCTGGGAAATCGTATTATCCGAAGGACAGAATGGGCTGAGCCCCTGCACATTGTCATCCTCAGAAGGGACCGGAAATGGGAGACCACGATAGCTGGCAACATCTGGTGAATTAGGGGCTTGAGCGGCTGGAGCATCGGAGCCGGGGGAACCGACAGCGATGGCCTGGGGAGTAACTAACTGGGAGGCAGTGGGATGGAAGCCTGATGCTGCAGGAGAAACGCCTACAGCGTGAGGTTGTCCCGACATGGTAGACTCATTCGAGCCAACTACCATAATCGGATAACTGGGAACCGTCATGAGGGAGGTGGAGACAGGAGTTGGAACGGGCGAGGGGGCGGGCTGGGGTGGCTGAGGCAAATGAGCGGAGAGGGCGGAAACGAGTAACGAAAGATCAAAAAAGGGAGGGACAACAGGGTTAGAGACAGGAATGGGATGGGAATTGGAAAGAGGAGAGGGAGGCGGAGGAGTAGAGGGAGTGACACTGGAGGCAGAGAGGGCAGAAATAAGTGACGAGAGATCAAAGGAGGGAGGGACAACAGGGTTAGACACAGGAAGGGGATGGGAATCAGGAACTGGGATGGAGGGGGCGAAGGGGAGAGGAGAGGGAGGAGAAGAGAAAGTGGCACTGTTGGTACAGAGGGCGGAAATAAGTGACGAGAGATCAAAGGAGGGAGGGACAACGGGGTTAGAAGCGGGAAGGGGAGGGGAATCTGGAACTGGAACAGAAGGGGTGATGGGGGAAGGAGAGGGAGGAGTAGGAATAGAGGGAGATACGGCAGAGGGAGATGCAATGAGGGGAACAACGGGTGGAGGCGGGAGGCGAACAGGAATAGAAGGAATGTCAGGGAGAGGAACGAGGGGGGTGACAGGGGAGACAGCAGGTGAAGATGGGAGGGTAGCAGGAATAGGAGGAATGATAGAAGGAGATGGGAGAGGGGTGACATCGGAAGACGGGACGGTATTGGCAGTGACAATGGAAGGTGGAAGAGAGACGGGACCAGAGGGAACTGGGAGAGGGGCTGGGGTAATGGGAATGGCGGGATGAGGCAGGAGAGGGAAAAGGTAATAATAAGATCCGTCCGCCCCGAGGACGGTGTACAGAGGGATTGAGACAGAGGAGCATACGCCACCTGGAGGTGGCGACTGGGTAGTGATGGGGGAGGCGGGGCGAGATTCATTCACAGTGCTCTGGGCGCCATCGTACAGCGGTGGTCGGGGAACAGCGGAAGATGAATCATCATTGCAAACATTTCTGTGATATACATAAATCGTTTGTCCTTCAAAATCTAGTTCTTCTTCTGACCAACCCTCCCGCTTGAGATCCCTTGCTACCCGATACCAAGCCTCTATGGCTTTCGTTAACCCGTTATCCAGTAACAAACCCTCTTTATCAATGAGTAATTTCCTCCAAAACTCTGGTTGTAATCTACCACTGGGTGACATTTGAAAACCACAAATCTTTGCTATTTACTTCATTTTTAACATAGCCTCTTCCCTGCTCTCTCCTTAACAATATCACAAGCTAAATAGCCTTTAGAAGGTCTGGCATGTTCTTGTCCCATTTTTACTAAAAAGGCTTCCCACGTATGAGGGACAGAGAGAGAGAGAAGAAATAGAAGGAATGTCTACAGTGCTCGACTGTCACGAGGAATTGGTCCTCGTGCGTCTTCCCAAAACTTAGACTAGTCACGGGATCCGCCCACCCGAGATGGTGGCCACGGATGTCAGTGGGCGAGCATGGGTGACTACCACAGCTCTGGGCAGCAAGTACAGAAGAGGTAGAGAATAAGGGAAAAGGTGAACGTGGAGAGACTAATCAGAAGACATTTACATGAGTCACAGATGTAGAGATGTGCACATAATCCGGAATCAAGGATGAGCCACACAACACACACACACACACAACTAGGGTACCCACACTATGGCTATAACTGAATAGAAACCAAAAAATAATAAAGAACAGTATAACAACGAGCATAGTAATGACTAAACAGCAAATAAAACCCTGTTCTACTCTGAACAGTACAGCAAAATTCCCAGCCTTTCTCTAGGCGGATCCCAGCCCTTCACAGGGCGGACACTATTCCCAGCCTTTCTCTAGGCAGTTCCCAGCCCTTTATCAGGTGGACACTATTCCCAGCCTTTCTCTAGGTGGTTCCCAGCCCTTCACCAGGCAGATGCATTCCCTGCCCGCTAGGCAGTCAAGCTATAATAATAAAAATAGTAATAAAACACACACCAGCTGTCTCACATGCATACATACACTCAGGAGGCAGATAGACAATCAACAGGTTCGTTTTAAAAGGCACCAGATAAGAGATTACCTGTCTTGTAGCCTTCTGGAAGCCGGAAGTGGACACGGAGACAGACCAACACAAAACAGGAGAATACAGGCAAACCGCTGTATTTAGGAGGTGATCAGGTTCCGATCGCCCCACTTTCCAGAGGTCCGCTCAGGTCCCATTTTCCGGCCGTCCGAACCGGCGAAATCCGGTGCCCCACGTTGGGCGCCAAATGATGTGGAATCAATCAATCAATTGATTATCTTGTGTATCTACCCCCGACCAAATTAAAGAAGTAGTGCGTGCACGCTCCTAAAGCAATTCACACCAGACACTGGTTTCGGGTTAATGAAAAACTTGAGGAATGTTTATTCTGAGGGGATGGCATGCCCCTTATAAAGCAAAATTACATCATATGCTTTGTCAGAGATAACATGAAATAATACATCAATAATTGGTTAGGTGTTAAGTGGTTCATTTATTGCTCTTCCTACCGGGTGTGATGTCACTGGTATCTTGGGGTCTCTCCCGATTCCAGCGCCATCTTGTTAGTGAGGGTGTTAGTCGATGTGGAAGGGAAACTCCCTAGCGGCCATTTTAGGTAAATCACATATAAAGTTGAATAATGCTGATTGTAGGTATGCTGAGTAAATAGGCATTTTACTAACATAAATTGAATTAATATTTTTGTCCACAACAAAAGTTTTATACATATTTATATATTTAATAAAGGTGTGGCCTATTTTTACCAAGCAATTCTGTGGTTGGTTCATTTCGGGTTAGCGGTTGGTTATGGGTTATGCCCATACACAATACCCTCTACCTACGCACATGTGCAATGAGTTGCATTCATTAGCTGAGAGTGGTCTTAGCCAATGAATGGCCAGTGGTATTGGCATCCAGCTTTTGCAGCTCTGTAGAAGTTGGATTCACGTCACTGGGTATAGATGTAACCGACAGAGACAGCTTCATATCCACTATAATGGGCTGTAGTGAATACGATGCTTGGAGTAACTTAAGCTAGGAAAGTAACAAAAAAAAGTAAATGGACACTTGCAGAAGCGAAACAAGCACATATGTTTATATTGGATCATAAGTTTGTTTACATTTGCATAAACACTCCACTCTTACAAAATTAAATAGAAAATCAATTTTGCTTTTGTTTTCTTACAATCATACATACAATTTCAAAGAATAGTAACAATCCTTTGTCATTAAAGACACAGCATACCCTCTCCTGGATCCAAGTGATTTTCACAATAATAAACCTTTAAAAGTAGATCAATGGATGGAGATGCAGGGAGAGATTGTTAGTTATAGTTTATGTGAAGTTTTGAGGAAGAGCAGGATTTCTCATGAAGCAATTTCAAAATAAAGATGTGTCTGCAGGGTGCAAGATATTATAGGAAAACTCACTCCTTATGACTTTTAATATATTTAATATTAACATTATGTTAAATTTTGAAATACTGAAAAATACGATCCACTTTAACATAAAGATATATTCTTGATGAAATACTAATCAAAACTGTTGGAATTTCACTACATTTACTGACATGAGAACTTTCTTCCTATCCCTTCCTCTCCATTACTTTCTTTATGTGATTATGTGAGCACATTTTTTGGCTATAGACAGCATAGTTCCATTGGACAGCTTGTTCGACTAGTTGTTATAATCACCATCACCTGTTGATATATATCTATACAACCCAATAAGCCACTAGTATTCAGAAGGAGTACTTTGACAACTTGCTAAATAACTCCCGTCTGTTTTGACATTTGACTGGAAGCTGTACTTTAGGATTACTCAGACTCATCTAAATAATATACTCAGATAACTCTAATACTCCTGTTTTATATATTTCATTGGAGCCATACCAATAAAGCTCTTTTTACCTAATCAGGAACAATACTGAGACCACTATCTGACTTTTCTTATATGGACATAGGAAATAACCCTATAGGGTTATGACTACACAGACTGGGTGTGTTTCATAGTTTGGAATTCTCTAGATACATATTGCTGTATACCTTTTTATTATTTTTGTTTTCTTTTTAGCTATATATCCTCTATTTAATCTTCAGCTGACTACTACCATTATCTCCTGGCAGGGGAGGCATAGTCACCTTTGGTTTACTTGCATACCTCTTCTATTATTTTTGTAACGTTCACTCTCTGCATTCATTGGCACCTGCTGGATTGAATGTTACATGGAAATATTTTTTTCCGAGTTCAAGCATGAAAGAAAAAAACATTCAAAAGAACCATACATTTATCACTCACCTGATGTTTATATTCTAGATACCATAAACCTTGCAAAACTAGCTTTTAACACTCCACTAAGTTCCTAGCTCTCACCATAGTAATTCTTGCATTGCTGCAATTGGGAGGGCTACTTCATTAGACTTGGCTACTTGTTGGGAAAAAAAAAAAAAGTTGAGTGCTGAGAATCCCTTTAATTAAAGAGGGCCTGATGAGGTGGCGCTTCTCAAGAAAGAAAATTCGAAGTGTTTTCTGTTGAATATTTAATAACTGGTGATGGTTTAACAAACTAGCTTTCCCTCTGAAAATAAATGCATGTTTGGGTCCAGTTTCCTCCAAAACATATAAAACAATATTGAATGCTTAAAAAACATATAGCATATATTTTAGCAGGCTACACTAACTGTCATCCCTGACATCTCCACCAGTAAAACTGGTCCAGCAATGGTACATCGGCATGTTTCGTAGTGCATAGTGCTCCTGAGTCCTGGAATTATCTTGGCTGAAGCCTTAGAGAAACAGTATGAAAGCACATTATTACATATGTCTGAAATGGTTAAATGTCATTCAGTCATAGTACTGTTTTGCAATTGTTTACATACATTGACAAAAATATTTTAGATACAGTAGAATGTATAACGCCCCTTTAACAATTAAAATTTTCATTAGGCATTAAAAATTATTCATTATGTATTATTTTAAACAACGGAGGTAGAAGACTGCATTACATAACAGGACATAAAGATCAACAACAAGCAAAAGAAAATAAAAATGTTGAATTACCGTTCCCCTTACCAAAAAGGCAATCTTGCATTTTATATAGTTTTCATCTTTAAGGCCTATAAGTCAGTCATACTTTGTGCTTGAATACTTGTGTGTTTTAAGAGTGCTCTTTGCATCGGATAAGTTTTTTAAAGGCTAACTTAAAATCATCATTGAAGCTAGTATAAAGAAGAGGGTTAATAAGAGAATTAACATAGCCTAGCCAGGTTAAAAAGTCTGCCACTTGAGGGGATACAGTGCAGAGGCTAAGCCCTACAACCAGTTCCTTGATAAAAAAGGGTAACCAGCTTATCATAAAAGCACCTAAAATAAGTCCAAGTATGCGAGCTGCCTTCCTTTCTCTCGTACTGGATATTTGTTGTTGCCGATCCCCAACCAACTCTATGTCATTATCATAGGGTGGTGTTCTCGCATATGTGTTAATCTTCTCAAACTCCATGGTCGGATCTGATGTGGAAAAATCAGACACACAGAACGTTTGTGTGAGTTTGCAATGGGCGAACGAGTTTTGACTATCGTTGCTCCGATTACTCAAGTGTCGGCTTGAGCCTCTCTTTTGGTAAAGGCTCTTTGCAGCATGGTAAATTCTATAGTACAAAATGAGTATTAAAGTCAAGGGGATATAAAATGCACCAAAAGTGGAATATATTGTGTAAATTACATGGTCATGTTGAATTATACATCTACTTGGGGTACTTATATTGTGATGATTTCTCCAAAACAAGGGTGGAAGGGAAATAAAAATAGAAATTGTCCACACTGTTAATATCATTATTCCAGCTCGTCTTGCTGTTCGTTTCCTGGCGTATTCAATAGCATCAGTGATGGCCCAATATCGGTCTAGTGCAATGACACATAGATGGAGTATTGAGCATGTGCAGCATGTCATGTCAATACTCAGCCATATCTCACATATGACATAGCCAAGGGTCCATGTATCCATAACTATGTACGCAATGCTTAAAGGCATCACTAAAATGGCAACAAGAAAATCCGTAACAGCCAATGAGCATATTAAGTAGTTTGCTGGCTGATGTAATTTTTTGGTAGTGCAAATTGCAAGAATAACGGCACAGTTTAATAATGTAGTTAGTATAGTTATGACTGCCAAAGTTAATGAAATAAGCATTTTTTCAGTGACTGTTTTTGATTTGCTTGTGATGGATTCTGTTGTGCAATTGGTAAGATTCATCTTCCTCTGTCACTGGAATTTTCTAATTTTGCTTTCTGGTCGTCTTCGCCATGTTGAATTATTTTTGTGAAACGTCTTGTTATATGCAGAGCTTAGTAGATATTGTGATGGCCTTCTATTTACACATGACTCATCTGCAAGATACAAAGTGGTTACACATAGTTTATTATCAAGAGAAAACAGTAGAATACAAATAGAAATTTTGTTTATCTTTAGTCCACAGATCTTTAGCATTATGTTTTGGGGAGGGGGGAAACAGGAACAAAAAAAACCCCTTACTCGTGGGCTACATTTTTTCTTAGGCGCGGTCAACAATTGTTTGTTTCTCTACATAATGCTGTTGTTCTCCTCTTGTCACCCATCAATGTTTTTATGGTTCTGTACTTGAAAAATAATTATACTGGTTCTCCAACTCAATAAAAATAAGATTTAAAGAAACACTATAGTCACCTAAATTACTTTAGCTAAATAAAGCAGTTTTAGTGTATAGATCATTCCCCTGCAATTTCACTGCTCAATTCACTGTCATTTAGGAGTTAAATCACTTTGTTTCTGTTTATGCAGCCCTAGCCACACCTCCCTGGCTATGATTGACAGAGCCTGCATGAAAAAAAAAACTGGTTTCACTTTCAAACAGATGTAATTTACCTTAAATAATTGTATCTCAATCTCTAAATTGAACTTTAATCACATACAGGAGGCTCTTGCTGGGTCTAGCAAGCTATTAACATAGCAGGGGATAAGAAAATCTTAATTAAACAGAACTTGCAATAAAGAAAGCCTAAATAGGGCTCTCTATACAGGAAGTGTTTATGGAAGGCTGTGCAAGTCACATGCAGGGAGGTGTAACTAGGGTTCATAAACAAAGGGATTTAACTCCTAAATGGCAGAGGATTGAGCAATGAGGCTGCAGGGGCATGTTCTATACACCAAAACTGCTTCATTAAGCTAAAGTTGTTCAGGTGACTATAGTGTCCCTTTAACTTTCTTATCCAGACTTAAACTCCACACAACTCTACCCCTCTGTATCTTTTGCCCATTTACTCCATCCTCTCTTCTCAGCCTAGTTCTGGAACTATGCATCCATCTCAAGTGAGAATTGCAGAAATTCAAAGTGAATTTCAAATTTAAGGTCAAAATACAGGGAGTGCAGAATTATTAGGCAAATGAGTATTTTGACCACATCATCCTCTTTATGCATGTTGTCTTACTCCAAGCTGTATAGGCTCGAAAGCCTACTACCAATTAAGCATATTAGGTGATGTGCATCTCTGTAATGAGAAGGGGTGTGGTCTAATGACATCAACACCCTATATCAGGTGTGCATAATTATTAGGCAACTTCCTTTCCTTTGGCAAAATGGGTCAAAAGAAGGACTTGACAGGCTCAGAAAAGTCAAAAATAGTGAGATATCTTGCAGAGGGATGCAGCACTCTTAAAATTGCAAAGCTTCTGAAGCGTGATCATCGAACAATCAAGCGTTTCATTCAAAATAGTCAACAGGGTCGCAAGAAGCGTGTGGAAAAACCAAGGCGCAAAATAACTGCCCATGAACTGAGAAAAGTCAAGCGTGCAGCTGCCACGATGCCACTTGCCACCAGTTTGGCCATATTTCAGAGCTGCAACATCACTGGAGTGCCCAAAAGCACAAGGTGTGCAATACTCAGAGACATGGCCAAGGTAAGAAAGGCTGAAAGACGACCACCACTGAACAAGACACACAAGCTGAAACGTCAAGACTGGGCCAAGAAATATCTCAAGACTGATTTTTCTAAGGTTTTATGGACTGATAAAATGAGAGTGAGTCTTGATGGGCCAGATGGATGGGCCCGTGGCTGGATTGGTAAAGGGCAGAGAGTTCCAGTCCGACTCAGACGCCAGCAAGGTGGAGGTGGAGTACTGGTTTGGGCTGGTATCATCAAAGATGATCTTGTGGGGCCTTTTCGGGTTGAGGATGGAGTCAAGCTCAACTCCCAGACACCTTCTTCAAGCAGTGGTACAGGAAGAAGTCTGCATCCTTCAAGAAAAACATGATTTTCATGCAGGACAATGCTCCATCACACGCGTCCAAGTACTCCACAGCGTGGCTGGCAAGAAAGGGTATAAAAGAAGAAAAATCTAATGACATGGCCTCCTTGTTCACCTGATCTGAACCCCATTGAGAACCTGTAGTCCATCATCAAATGTGAGATTTACAAGGAGGGAAAACAGTACACCTCTCTGAACAGTGTCTGGGAGGCTGTGGTTGCTGCTGCACGCAATGTTGATGGTGAACAGATCAAAACACTGACAGAATCCATGGATGGCAGGCTTTTGAGTGTCCTTGCAAAGAAAGGTGGCTATATTGGTCACTGATTTGTTTTTGTTTTGTTTTTGAATGTCAGAAATGTATATTTGTAAATGTTGAGATGTTATATTGGTTTCACTGGTAATAATAAATAATTGAAATGGGTATATATTTGTTTTTGTTAAGTTGCCTAATAATTATGCACAGTAATAGTCACCTGCACACACAGATATCCCCCTAACATAGCTAAAACTAAAAACAAACTAAAAACTACTTCCAAAAATATTCAGCTTTGATATTAATGAGTTTTTGGGTTCATTGAGAACATGGTTGTTGTTCAATAATAAAATTAATCCTCAAAAATACAACTTGCCTAATAATTCTGCACTCCCTGTAGAGGAACTGGACAAATTCATCCAGTCACCTAAGCTTTTAGTTTGACTACTTTAGCCTTCGATTTTAAATTTACGTTGAATTCCCTGAAATTATCCCTTTAGAGAATAACCCTGTATGTATTTTACCACCCTTAGCCTGGACTGAGTAATCTAGCCAATTGAAGAATGCAATGGAAAGTGAATTTTAAAAAATCTCAGTAAAGTAATACTTCCTGATACTATTTTTAAACCTTTGCCCCTCTAATTTAAGACTATGTCCTCTTGTTGTGGTAGTTTTTCTTCTTTTAATGGCTTACTGTAATGGTTATGGGTGAATATTCATATGTTGTCCCTTGGAGTAAAGCACATGCCCTCTGACTGGTACAGCTACATAGTAAAATAGGATAATTATTATTAATTATTATATATATATATATATATATATATATATATATATATATATATAACAAGAGGGGGTTGGCTGCACTCACCTTAACATGCATAAATGGGGGTGCTGCTGGGGGCTAAATAATACAATACACAAGATCAAGCGCACTCACCTATCCACTAAACAGCAACTTCAATGTTGAAAGATTTTATTTGTTTTTTTAAAAACACCTAATCTAGGCAAAAATAATGGGGGTTTAGTTACATTATATGATCATACATTGACGTTGTGGCAGGCTTATGCACTGTATGATCATATAATGTAACTAAACCCCCATTATTTTTGCCTAGATTAGGTGTTTTTAAAAAACAAATAAAATCTTTCAACATTGAAGTTGCTGTTTAGTGGATAGGTGAGTGCGCTGGATCTTGTGTATTGTATTATTTGGCCCCCAGCAGCACCCCCATTTATGCATGTTAAGGTGAGTGCAGCCAACCCCCTCTTGTTTTATATATATTTGGGAGTCTAGCCAACTCCTTGGTTTTGCACCCCTCCCTGTCACAGGTGCCTCATCCCAGGGCACTATTTAGCCTTGTACTGCAGAGAGCCCCAGATGGAATTTCTTTCCCCAAGTAGGTTAATCTCATAAGAGCAGACATTAGGCTGTTAGTGTAGGACCTGCCAAAGATGGGGTTCATTGACGTTGTGGCAGGCTTATGCACTGTATGATCATATAATGTAACTAAACCCCCATTATTTTTGCCTAGATTAGGTGTTTTTAAAAAAACAAATAAAATCTTTCAACATTGAAGTTGATGTTTAGTGGATAGGTGAGTGCGCTGGATCTTGTGTATTATATATATATATATATATATATATATATTGTCTCTGAAGCTTCAGTGTGTGAATAGGAGTGTCAGCATGTAAAAGTACGTATACATGGAGGTAAAACATCAGTGTGTAACATGTATTTCTTAATAGCATCAGTGTGCGAAATGAAAGTAGAGGTACATTTTTTATGGATTGTCAGTGTGCAGATAAGAGGGTGTATTTCACTGGATACCAGAGGACAAATGAGATACAGGGAGGGTGGAAAGTTCGTCCCTGGTGATCTGTTCAGAATTAAGTCTACAGCTCCAGGGAGGCGCAGGCCATGTACATTGCTCTGTGTGTCTGGCGTTTCTGAATTAATAATGGATGGGTATCGCCATGCTATGTACAAAGGCAGTACATCTGCAGTAAAGTAAAAACATTAAGAATACCAAATTGCCACACTTTATGTAAACTATTTAACTATAACTAGCAGTCACACTGCACAATTTAATGAGAATAATAGAAGTTATAAAAGTATACTCAGAAGGTCAAAGCATTTAATATAACAGCTTACTTCCTATGGTTTATAAATCAATGCTGCTTTTCTTGTTCTTCATTTGACAATTAAGGATAATGCTGGTATTTTATCTCTCTTAACTCTTGTTGGTGCTTTACTCCTTTGAAGGATAGAATATATATTCTATTGCAACATAGAAAATGTTATTATATAGGAGATATTTTTGGTTACCTCTCGTTATCTAGGTTGTGCTCCCCAATCACTGCTTTGCCCATATGCCGTATATCTCATTTTATACAAGTAATCACATAAATAATGTCTTCTTAATTACCCTTCATGTATCACCGAATTTCAAGATTTATTAGACTTGTAGGTATAGAGGAGACATATTTTCATATTTGTATATATTTGTACATATTCTTACTATTTACAAAAAAGCATTTAAATATGACTTATTTTTAATGGTGCAGTCTATACACCATAACTAATACACGCTGATGCAGTTGCTACGGTGCCATTAGTTGTTTTGGCGTCAGGTCCTGGTGAAACTGTCGAAATAAGAGTGGAGTTAAACAGTAGTTTACTTTACTTTTCTCCATCACTGTGCTGGTCTCACCATGG